CCAAATAATAATGGTGTGGCACAAAGTGAGTGCTTCTTAAATTCCAGCTGTGTGTGTGTGTGTGCGCGTGTGTGTGTGTATGAGAGAGACAGAGAGAGAGAGAGAGAGAAAGAGAGAGAGAGAGAGAGAAAGAGAGAGAGAGAGAGGTGTTCAGTAGCCAATACCCAAAGTAAAGTTGAAAACTTAGATGCTGCAGGGCTGAGGCAGGTGAAGAAAGCAAACAAAGCCACTGACGTATTGGGCAGTAGGGAGTGGTAGGGACTGTGGCAAACTGGAACCCCACAGCGTGTCTAAAAGGGGCAGCTTCAGACACTAAGTCTGACCCTCGTGGAGGAGGGCTAGATCGTCATAGTTTTGTTTTTTTTAAGCCACATTCTTGATTTTATGTGAGAGCCCTCATTTAAAAAATGTTGGCACTAACCTAAAAAAAGAAACAAACCCCAAAAACAAAAGCAAAAACAAACAAACAAAAACCCAGAAAAGGAAAAAAAAACCCCAACAACAAAATAACACTTTGAGCCAATCATTACACACGTGCAGCTGGACTGGCCTGCAGGTTACCAGTCTGAGACCCCCGGGTTTGATGCTGAGCACACCTTCCGAGTGGCCGTCATTGTTCTTGCTTACGAATGACATCAAATGAGGCAAACTTACCTGGTGCTGATGTAACAGAAAGGCGGGCTTGGGTTCACGCTCCAGAAAAATTTCAGATCGAAATGTTGGACATATCATGGCCCATCCCTGGAGCCTTGGTTCCCCACTTCCTGTTTACATCTGGGGAAACTGAGGCCCAAAGAGGTAAACAGCCTTGACCAAGGGTTTTAGACTCACCCCGAGGCCTCTGGGCTCCCAGCTGGGGTCTCTCCTTTCTCCCCCTCAGCCCCTGCTGCAGAGTGGCCTCCAAACTGAGAAGTGGCTTGATTTTGCCCCACTTTGCCGGGCTCTCGCCTGGGCTGCCAGCAGAGGTGCTAAGCGGGACACGGCAGTGGCCGGGAGGAGGAAAGGGGAAGGAGAGGCCAATCCCCAGACAGCCTGGCCCTTGTGGGGGGAACCGATATATCAGGAACACCCAAGTGTCCCCAGTTCTCAGCCCCCACGGTGGGCAGAGATCAGGGACTTTCTCAGGCCCATGAGGGTGGATGGGGTCAGGGGAACCCAGGGGGGAGCCCCATTCCCTTCCTCTCTGACACCTGTTCCTCCTTCTTAAGAAAAGAGGAAGTCATGGGCTGATGTCTAAGGCTAAAATTACTCTTGAACATGGCGGGTGGTAGGTGGTGGCCTTGGGGGCAGTTCAGGGTTCCAGACGAGCAGGGTGTGGGTAGAGGCCCTCCCTCTGGGCAGCTCCAGGTACCTAGCCCCTGGTCAGGCTCACTGTCAATGCAGAGCTGGCCCAGGAATTGGCATGCATCCAGGGAGGGTATTATTTCATGTGTGAATACAACCCGTAAATAAACACTGGAGCACACTCTCAGGCTAAATATAGCCAGGCAAGTGTGAGAGGTGAGTGGGGCGTGGTTTGTGGGGGCCAGATGCACCCAGGATGAAGCCACACCCTCTTCCTGAGTTCCCTCTGCTGCAGCTGGGGGAACCAGCCCTCCCTGCAGGTGGCCAGGCCTGGGACTCACACAGACAGGCACTACAATTTACAGTTTGTAGAGGGCAGAGGCTGGGGCTGGGGGCTGCATGCAGGATAGGCTCCGGAACCAGCCAAACTGGGATCGCTACTAAGCTTCAGTTTCCTTGTCTGGAACATGGAGATAATAGCATCTACATGGGATGTTTGAGGGTTAAATGTGATAGTTCAGGCTTAGTTCCTGACATTAGTACTCCACGGTAGCTAGTGTTGAATGCAAGAGAGTGTGGTGGAGAGCTGAGAGTTCAAATCCTGCCTGGGCTCAAACCTTGGCTCTGCCACTTAACAGCTGCGTGGGCTTGCTTACGTAACCGTCCCTCTGTGGGCTTCAGCTGCCTCCTCTGTAAAATGGAGATATAATACCTCCTGGGGTTAGTATTAAATAAACAAATGTATGGAGAAGTAGCTGGCCTGTTGCTCTTCAGTATCACCGTAAATCATAGATCTGGGTTTGAATCCTGTCTCCCTTTTTTTTTTTTTTAAAGATTTTATTGGGGAGTTGGGGGAGGGGAACAGCGCTGGGGAATTGGGGGAAAGGGAA